GTCTGGTTAGCAGTCTGTAACGTAAGTCCAGCAGATTGCCGAGCGCGTTTTCCCAAAGGTCGTGGTATAACGCTGACTTTAGAGCCTGTATAGACCGAAAAAGCAAGTTTAGTAGTGGAGTCGAACACGTAAAGAAGGCGACTGAGGAATTGGTCAGCGACAGCCGTCACCATTACTGACTGGCGTGGAGTTTCCCAGTTGAGAAATCGGAGTTCCTTTCAGATAATTGCATCCCGGACGACAGGTACCTGCTGCTTTACTGATGCGACGGTGGAAGTAGCAGTACGACCGCTGACTTGCGCTTGATGTGTTGCGGTATGGACCACGAGGATTTCTTCGGTTAGTGGTGCGATCACGTCGATTAGAAGACATGCTGAGTTCTAAACGGGGGATTCTATCCTTGATCGAATCAAGTATAGTGCTATGAGACGAGCTGACTGTGGTGGACAGAGGTTTTGAGAAGTTTGTAGAGGAATACGAGGTTGGCTTTAAGCCCTCGTAGCCAGAGAGGCTCCAGGCCAAGCAGTTTGCAGCAGTTTGCGGTAAGCACCGCATTGACGCCAATCACCGCCAATCACCAGATGAAGCATGGAGGCCCAACAACTGTTGGATGGGCGAATGATTCCTAGGTTGAACATGTGCTCGAATTCACGTTTTGCCGCTTGGAGCTTGTCAGGTGAAAGACGTCTTGGTTTGGCTGACACGGGTGGACCTGTGGTGACGATATGATGACGAACCTTGTGTTTAGGCTAGGTGGAGTCAGTATTAGAACGGACCAAAGACAGGAATTGCTGAAGCAATGAGGAATTCGGCGTAGTGTCTGGCATGAGTACGCGAAGTCCGACAGAAGTGACTGGGGCGAGATGGCAAGGGACATTGAGCGAAGTGCTGTCGTCCCGTAACTTCCTACAACGTAGGTCGACAACGGGGCCGAATTTGCTAAGGAAGTCGATGCCAAGTATGGGTTTCTGGACATCTGCGATGGTAAAGACAAAAGGAAATACGCGTCGGAAACCAAGGCTTAGGTGTAACAGTTTCTGGCCGTATGTCACGATCTTAGTCTGATTAGCAGCCTGTAACGTAAGTCCGGCTTGTCGCAGGGGGCGTTTTTCCAACGAACGTGGTACAACGCTGATATCTGCGCCCGTATCGACCAAAAAATAAAGTTTAGTCATGGAGTCGAGCACGTACAGAAGGCGACTGAAGATTTGGCCAGCGACAGCCGTCGTCATTACTGGCTGGCTTTGGCGATTCCCGATTGCAAAATCGGAGTTCCTTTGGATATTTGCATTCTGGACGACAGTTACGTGCTGCTTTACTACAGCGCCGATGGAAATAACAGTACGACCGCTGACGTGAGCGTGATGTGCTGCGGCGCGGACCACGAGGACATTTTCGGCTAGGAGTGCATTCACGTCCAATAGCAGACATGCTGAGTTCTAAACGGGAGATTCTATCGTTGGTTAAATCAAGCGTATTGCTATGGGATGAGCTGGCTGTGGTGGACTCAGCTACGTGATTAAGAGTATTCTTAAAGAAACATTCAGGCGTGTTGTCCGCAGCTTCTGCGAGCTTTTCCAGAGTGATATCGTCGCTAAGAACTGATAATATCGCTGTGACGTTTGCCGGAAGACATTTCATCCAAAGTTGGCGGAGTCTGGAGTCATCGAGTTTCGACGAACCAGCTAGGGAACGCGTGTGTCTTAGAAGCTGAGATCGGGTGCGATCGCCAAGCTCGACGCCGGAAAGTAACTGTTGCAGACGAGCTTCATCAGACGCAGTGGTGCGTTTAAGGATAGCTGCTTTAAATTTATCATACGAAGCTTCAACAGGCATAGGATCAAGAATATCGATGACTTCAGATGCAATGGAGACAGGTAAACGCGAGACGACGTAAGAGAACATGGAAGATTGTGAAGTGATCCTACGACGTCGAAAAGTGGCTTCTACCTGAATAAACCATACGCGTGGATTGGAAATGTCAATGGTAGGAAGCGAAAGCTCGACAGAATTGTCCGTAAAACACATAGGGTATGGCCAGATATGACTAAGAAAAATACGTGTTCCAAAAAAATAAGGCTAGGTCACCAATTTATGTAGTGATCGAAATATACCAGGAAGGTTTCAACCCCTTAATAAAAGACAAAAAGTTGGAGAGGGTCAACTCACAGTCTAATCACAGTTGAGTTCGAGTCGTAGGTTGCGCTATACCTGTGGCACACGCAGAGCACAATGGAAATAGACGTTCGATCGTAATTCCGAATATACTTTCCGATTTGCAAGCAGACTGGACGGCACCGTACGCACGCAGAAGCAGCACAGCCAGAAATCAGCACAACGGAACGCGGGGCGCGAAGAAGTGTATTGTTTGTTTATCGTTCAGGTGTAGTCTGACCAGGCGTCACCAGAGCATTGCTAAGCCATTTCCAAAATATGGCGTGCTAACTATCAGGCAATGCGTACCAAGGCTGCTGGGATGCGATGTGAAATCTCGGTGGTTGATACGGTTCGGGCGGCCTGGGATAAATTTAAATCTTATCTCACGGAAGTGTCTACTCCGTACATCCCGCTTGCGAGGAGAAAGGAGACACGGGCGCGGCCGCCGTGGATAGATACCACTGGCAAGCACCTGCTCCAGAAGCGTTCTAGGTGCTGGAGGACCTACCGTGCTGCTCCATCAACTAGCACCTATGCTAGGTACCGCGAGGCTAGAAATAGGTGTAAACAACACTTAAGGAAAGCTCGGCTGGTGTACGAAAAGGAATTGGCTGACGGAGCTTCGGAAAATCCGAAGAAGTTCTTCGCTTATGTTAAGAGACGCTGTGGTTCAACTTCGGTAATCCCAACTTTGATGAGGGCCGATGGAACTCGTACGTATGCGGACTCAGATAAGGCTCGTGTACATGGGGAACAGTATGCAGGGGCTTTTGTACGTGTGGCCGCGTTGACTAGCGTTGAATTTGTCCCCAGAGTACCTGATGGTTCTTATTTAGCTGAGTTTACCGTGGGGGAAACGCAAGTCCTTAAACTGCTGCAAGTACTGAACCCTTCCAAAGCAGCTGGACCTGATTCAATTCACCCGAAGCTTCTGCATGAGTTGGCGGGGGAACTAAGTGGACCGCTGACGATGGTGTTTCAGAAATCACTTGACACCTGTACATTACCTTCCGGATGGAAGGAGGTTGTCATCTGTCCTATCTTCAAAAATGGCGACAGGAGTCTGTCAGCCAATTATAGGCCAGTTAGTCTGACTAGCGTCGTGGTCAAACTGCTTGAAAAGCTGGTGAGAGATTCGTTGGAATGTCACCTGAATAGATTTAATCTGCTCAGCAGTGCACAACATGGATTCCGGATGGGGTTTTCGTGTTTGACGAAGTTGTTGGTTGCTCGTGAAGCTTGGGTCGAGGCAGTGGACAATGGCCACGTAGTGGATGTGCTTTTCGTAGACTTCTCGAAAGCATTTGATAAGGTACCCCACTTGAGGCTATCACATAAGCTGAGGTCCTACGGCGTATCTGGCCGCGCCCTTCACTGGGTATCTGCGTTTTTGCAGGGAAGAGAGCAGTGTGTACGTGTGGGTCGCAGCTTATCCTTTAAACAAGCGGTCCTTAGCGGTGTCCCACAGGGCTCGGTCCTTGAACCGATGCTGTTCTCCATCTACGTAAACGATCTCCATGGAGAGCTTGGGGTATCATCCTTATTGTTTGCTGATGACCTTAAGCTATGGAATGTTGTAAATGTTCCTGGGGGTTCTGAGGCCATACAGCGTGCACTGGACAGACTCTGGGACTGGTCTACTTTGTGGCTACTGCCCATAAATCAGGCTAAGTGTTCCGTCCTTCGTATAGGAGCAACTATCCCGCCTTCGAGCTACGTACTCGGTGGGGTCGAACTCCTCCTTGTCTCCAACCAGATAGATCTAGGTGTCGTTCATTCCTCGTCTTTGCATTCTGGTGACAACTGGAAGAAGGCCGCTAGTAGGGGTTTCAGAATGTTATGGTTAATACGCCGTTCTTTCGGGGTCTTAACTGCCGACATATTTGTGAAGCTATTCTCAGCTTTCGTTCGGCCCCATCTGGAATACTGCGTCCAGGCTTGCGCGCCCTGCCTTGTTCGGGACAAAAGGGAGCTTGAGAGGGTTTTGAGAGTAGGTACCAAATTGGTCGAGGGTTTAAGGGGGCAATCGTACCCCGAGCGTCTACTTAGCTTGGGTATGTATTCAATGCATTACCGACGGCTTCGAGGAGACCTAATCCTTACTTACCGCATTTTAACAGGGAAGGTTGGGCCGGACTTGCGCTGGCTGTTTAGCCCGGCTAGGTTGCCTTGTCTTCGCGGTCATCCCATGAAGCTACACAAGCCGCGTTCTGACCGGATCAGGGCGGAAACTCGGTTATCGCGTAGAGTTATCGAGCGCTGGAACTCGCTTCCAGAAAATGTAGTCAGTGAACCTACGGTTAAGGGTTTCGAGCGTCAGTTAGACGCTCTTGGGTGGCAACACGAAACCTTTCCCTTCTCCTGACCATATCCATCTTTAAACATTCAGTTCTTATTCTGTCATTATCTTCACTCTTTGGTGTTATCCTTCATTTTAATGACTTTCATTCCCCTTTATCTTTTCGTTTACTTTGTACTTCTTTCTTACTTCACGTAACCTACACAGCGCGGACTGCTAGTGCAGGGAACGTGGGCAGTAGTTGGTTGATCAGGGTGTGTTTCGGGTGTTTCGTTTTAGATCTATCAAGAACTAACACCTTATCATTTCCTGGCTCAACGATTTGCTCAAGAAGGAACACTCAAGGGATTTTCCTATCGTTCCAGTCCATCTGAATCTGAATCTGAATCTAATCATTAATTCAAACAAACTGTACAAAAGATGTCATGATAAAATTGCCGACAAGAAAGAAAAATGTGAAATATTAATCACCACTACAGCTTTAATGGTTCCATGTGTGGCTTCCTGGGGTAGCAGAACAGTCTACTACCATAATCGATTGCCATAAAAACTCACGCCCCATTTTTGCTCCTTTTCCTCTCCGTGAGTACCGCACCGGCATTCCCATATCGTTCTGTTGATAGGGCCTGTCGGTTACCTCGTTTTCTTGTTGCACAAAATGCTGGGCATATTGCATAACGTAAGTGCAGACGTGCTGCGGCGCAATTTCAGACTGTGACACAAAACAGAATGTACAGGGAAGATTTGACCACCGCAGTATGCTGACGTACAAAGCCCATAAATTTTCAGGAGATCGAAGAATTCGTTTCAAAACTCAAAAAGCTGCCCGGCTGTTTGGACATCGGCCAAGATGAGGCTGAAAAGGCTGCTTTGTTATTCCTACGTGCCAGAAAACGCGATGTCAATAGAGCTGTTGAATTATACAAGGCCAATAAGGTAATGCGCTCCCTTATGTCTACAGCAACTGTCGTACTGCATTTTTTACTCTATCACTTGATCACTTTCTTGTCACCTAGCGGTTTCACATTTGTATTGCAATTACTTTTACAATTCTCAGCTGTCATTCTAGCAGTCTTAGTTACGTACATACTCTGTCCTTGCTCTTATCAGTTCCCGTCAGCACCACACAGCAGTCCGACTGCTGACTCAAATCGTTCACACATCTAAAGAGCAGCGTTGAAAAAATGGCATAGTACTGCCACTACACATGTATGTGATAATGTGGTTTTCTAGGCTGTCGCTACTGTATCTATCGAGCCCTCTTTGACAAGGTTTCATTTGTTGGTTTGGTCTGTTCCGAAGCTTTCATGCAACGTTACGATGGGAACCACCTTCATACTTGTAGTTTGATCGTTCTTATGCTTCTGGACTTCATCTGAATATTCCCAGGCTCGGAAAACACTACAACCGGACACAGTCTGGTGGACAAGTATTCTGAAGATGTAGCTGATCGGACATATTTGATTCATGTTTTTCAAGCAGTACAGTTCGGCCATACATTTATCTTTATTATATCTGGACATTACGTCCTATCTACGTACTGACTATACTTCATCTTTTCTGTGGTGCCGGATACACTCCTACTTATTCTCCTCATATTCGCTCATTCAGTTCATATTTTGTCATCTTCATAGGGTGCCGATGCTCTGAATAGCCACACGAGCGTTACAGACGCGTATTGTGGCTTCTACAGTGAGTCGACCATTACAAATAATGAGGCCGTCTACTCGAGTAAGCTGGTTTTCGGCGGGCACGCTCATGTTCTTCGAATCTGCTTGTGGCCCATGAAAGATGGGCGAAATCATTAGACGCTGGGAAACGTCTGATGTTATTTTTGTCGACTTCAGCAAGGCCTTTGACAACGTTCCTCATGAAAGGCTCATTTATAAACTACGAGAAATAGGTGTTTCTGGGAACGTTCTCCCTTCGATCGCTGATTTTTTGGATGCCCGGACAATGCGAGTCGACGTGAACGAGACTTACTCCGCTCCTGTGATTATCACTTACTGTGTCCCACAGGGATCAGTCCTGGGCCCAAAACTTTTCAAGATCTTCATCAATGACCTCTCGGCGGAACTTCAGTTGGATTGTTTGATTTACGCTGACGACTTGAAGTTGTGGATGGACGTATCCTATCTTGACGATGCGGACCGATTACAGGCTACACTTGATACGTTACATGAGTGGTCAGCCAGATGGCAATTGCCCATAATTCGCGGTAAGTGCTCGGTAATAAAAATAAAAAATTATTACCAACACTTATCGCGATTTATGGGCAATTGCCATCTGGCTGACCACTCATGTAACGTATCAAGTGTAGCCTGTAATCGGTCCGCATCGTCAAGACAGGATACGTCCATCCACAACTTCAAGTCGTCAGCGCCGAGAGGTCATTGATGAAGATCTTGGAAAGTTCTGGGCCCAGGCTCGGTAATCCCCATTGATGCTCCTGAGCCTTTTGGGACATACCACATTGGTGGGGCGTTGCTCAGAACTTCAATCCTTGAAAAAGACCTCGGCGTGTTGGCGTCATCTGATCTACGGACTACACAGGACACGTTACGAAGGGTTGCTGCTGCCAACAGGATGTCCCATGCCATACCGAATAGCCTTTTCACGTTTGACTCTGGATATCTTCAGACTGTTGTTTACTTCCCATGTCCGCCCCATTCTCGGATACTGATTACCTGCCATCTTCTCTCACACCAAGTTCGAATGTGGCCTCATTGAGAAGGTCCAACGGCGGGGATCGAAATACATCTTGGAGGTACGGGACTTGCCCTATCCCCTGAGACTATAGCGGATGAACCTGTTCTCCCTGAATTATCGCCGACGTCGCGGTGACCTGATTTTCACCAGGCGCATCCTGAGAGGAGAGATGGGGGCGGAGCTGCAGGCGTGCTTTCAATTCAATGCAAACAGTTCAACTCGAGGCTACAAGTGGAATCTGTTCAAAGCCAGAAGGCTGCGGGTTCATCCTGCTTTCGCTCTATCAACTCGCGTAGTCAACAATTGGAACGAGTTACCGAAGCATATGGTCGATGCCCAGACTGAAGAATGTTTAAAGCGAATGTTAGATTCTTATCTTTTAAGTACGATGGGCCCTTACAGCTTCCACTGTAGCTGTCACGGTCCCTTGTGAATTACCGCATAACATCGAATCGCGGGCTCCACACAGTGATCGGGAAGCGATGGAGCTGAAAAAAGATTTCTCCTTCTGCTCTCTACAATCCTATGAGTGTTCGTTCCGTAATTGGGAGAATCGGTGGTGTATCTACCCTGTCTTGTAGCATCACTTACACCTTAATATTGCATAGCGTGTTGCACCCTGCAACATTTTGCTTCAAATGCTTGTACAAATGCTTGCTCGGATCTCAAATAGGGTACACATGCCACAAAACTGCAACGAAGCAAGACCTTAACATGATATAACCATTTCTGTATCAGTATATTAAGCTGTCAAGGTGCATTCCTGTCTCTTACTCACTACCTCGTCCATACTGGTTCCAGGAGACAGTTGATCGTTGCTATAAGGGACGGGATGCACGGTCCTTGTGGTCATGCTAGGCTCGAAGAGTGATTCCATGCTCCCAGTGTGGAGCGGACTACGGTCCAGCCATCGTCTTGTGTGCGTTTGATTCCCAAATACAGCGTGCTTATGTTTGCTTGTGAAGGAGTGTGGGCCGGCTCCTTTGATGAAACGTGGCTCCTATCCACATGCCTCCCGATCTCATTCCTTCGGGTTTACACTGGATATGTGGTGTGTGGTTGGAGCTGTGGGTAGTGCAGCGCAAGCCACCCATGGTCCCTCTGTAGGCGCAGGCGTCCTGTGGCTGACCACAGTGACAGGCAAATCTGAAACTGGATGCCGCTAACCATATTGAGTTATGATAGATGGTGTTTTTCAGTGTTTTGCTCGTAACTCCCAGATTGATCAGTTGTTATGGACTAGCCAGTCAGTTCCTAATTTTCATTAAACTCATCCACCATATGGGTCTATCATATTTCTACTGCTTGCCGGTCAAGCGTTTGAACCAGACTCTGAGGCCTTAGCCGTTATCAAACGCGGGTTTTGGTATCTTGGTAGTATCACACCCCCAACCGTGTCTTTCAACAAATTCCAACTTCATTTTATATTGGTCGTCATGCGGTTTCAGACGCATGGCCGTATTTTTCGCGCGCATCAAGACATATATGCATAGCTTGCTGTTGCCTATGCTTCCCTTTCCATCATCATCCTCATTATACACGCCAGCTAGAGGTGGGAAACACCTCACTTAAGGATAAGGAAACTAACAACGACAGTTGCATGCCAGCTGAGCTACCGGCAACGGATAGGCATCGTTTTGGTAAGCTATCAGCCAGCTACTAGGCAAAAAGAAAAATTGTTGTTTTACACTACGAAATGAAATCGTAGATGGAGGGGGAGGCTAAAACGGATGGGAGTGACAAAGAAACAGCAGGAACGCCACTGAAGTCGGCTGCTTGCCATGTCAGCAAGTGTATCCAGCCAAACGTGTTCACCGTCTTTTGGACCCCTACCAGGGAGCGGTGGCGCTCCAACTGAGGCCAGCTCCGAAGTGAGGGCCTTCATTCCTCTGGACCAAGTCATCGCTTGGCCGCCCCTCCTCTTCTTCCATCCACATCCCCGGTGAACAAACAACGCACGTCTTGGAAGTCGGTGGGCTGGCATGCGCAACACATGGCCCAGCCATCGGAGCCTGGTGCGTGAAATGACGGTGCTGAGCGGTTTACTTCCTTTTTCTGTGCCGTAAACAAGGCGTCGAACACGCTCGTTACTCACGCGGTGTTCCCACCAGATGTGAGTTAAACTGCGAAGGCACTGGTGGTCGAACGTAACTAGCCTCTTTATGTTCACCGTTCTTAGGGGCCAGGTTTCACAACCGTACAGTAAGGTCGAACCTACCGCTGCATTGTACACTCTACCCTTCAAGGCGAGAGTAATGTCGCGCCGCCGCCATAGGTGGCGAAGGTTAGCAAAAGCACTTCCCTTTCCACCTATTTCTTATGCCTCGTTCGATTGTCCTTGATAGCCATTCTTCCATAGTTCTCGGGATATGTGACATTTGTATTCTCTGAGGTTCCAATATGTGCGTTCATTCCACCCCTATCGTCGACAATCTCTTAACAGGACCTGTTGTTTGCTTTTAATTGTTCTACGCTTGTACTCTACGATAGACCAGTCAACAGGCTGCATGTACAGTGAGTATTCAGCGTGTCGGCATATGTAGCATCCCCGATCGTAGGACGTAAGACTCACTCAGCTATCGAACCAATCACACCTTTCTTACCCTTTTGCGGCTGGTCGCACAGGTCCGAATTGTTTCTGCAACAACCACGGACCACATTTGCATGCTTTTTGTTCTAAGCTTTTTAATGGAGATTTTGCTAGTTAATTGGATCACTGTATACAGCCATCTTCATACAAATTGTTTGACAGCGCCAACTATGTCAATCTTCCAGGCAACCGAAACGTGCACCGATTGTATGCAGTCAGCATATTCTACTTTATTTGCAGATGTCGATGAATGTCATTGTTACTTAAGTGATGTTACTATCGTGCACCAACAGCGTTCCCAAGGTATAGGTGTCCACCTTCAAGCAGTTTTTACGCGAACGGTCCAGTCCCTGTGGCCACCGAGCAGAACTACTTTCGATGCAGTACTATACACTCATGCTAGGTTGGTTTCGGTTACATCATGATTCTACCCCGCATTTGGGCTGCACCGATTTACACTTAAATCAATTCTTTTTAACCTGAATATAAAATCAGGTCATCAGCAGTATCGACGCTTCGCTGCTGCGCGACCACCACTAGTCGCACATGTGCTAAGGATACTGTGAGGATCACTTGGCCCCTACGCAGTCTCGAACCCGCGCCCTCGGATTACAAGGTAGGCTTGTGGTCCTTAAGG